CTCTGAAGTCACATTTCCCCACGGACTACTGGAAAAGCATGGCCAATTTAGAATAAACACACATTTTTCTGAAGCCAAAATTAGATCAATCCTATTCCTAAACACTTTGAACACTTTTTTTTTTTTTTTTTTTTTTTTACTGTAAACATCAATTAATACCCTTACATGCTGAAACTTCCAAATGCCACGTGTTTCTATGGCAATTCTTAGATTAACTGATTCTAAAAAAAAAAAGTGATCTTCCCCCTGTACTAGTGAGGCCACGCCTCCAGTGCTCTGTTCAGTTTTGGGCTCCTCACTCCAAGGATATTGAGGTGCTGGAGCAACTCCAGAGAGCACAGTGGAGCAGGTGAAGGGTCTAGACAATTAGTCCTACACGGAGCAGCTGAGGGAGTTGAGGGTGTTTAGTCTGGAGGAGGCTCAGGGGAGGCTTTAACAGTCTCTACAACTACCTCAAAGGAGGTTGTAGAGAGCTGAGGGTCGGCCTTTTCTCATGGACAACAGGACACAGTCTTAAGCTGCACCAGGTCACATTCAGGCTGGACATTAGGAAGAATTTCGTCGCTGAAGGAGTGGTTAAGCCTTGGAACAGGCTGCCCAGGGAGATGGTGGAGTCACCATCCCTGGAGGTGTTCAAGAAACAACTGAATGTGGCACTTGGAGTGCTGTGGTTTAGTTGACATGGTGGGGGCTCGGTCCAAGGTTGGACTCTCTGATCCCAGAAGTCTTTTCCAACATTAATGATTCTATACACAACAGTCTCCTCTCTCAAGGCTTCCAGAAAAGGGATAACAAGTTGATGCTCCTCAAAGGAAAACACAACCAGAGGCCAACTTCTTATATAATAGAGAAATAAAAACCTCTTTTAGCCCTCTTTTGTACTTCCCTCTTCCCCTTGCCATAAACATGGTTTATTAATTGATGATCCTGCTAGCTCCTCTGTACTTACCACCATAAATTAGGGCATTAGGACACAGGAGTCAGGTATGAAACAGAAAGTGCAGAGGGGTCACAGAAAAAAGACAAAAAGTCAAAAATCTGCCATGTACACAAAAAGGATGGAAATATCCTAGAGGGAAGAAAAATGGTATCTTTAAGGTTAATATACAAGGTTGAAAGCAACTGAAAACACTGGCAAAGTATCAGAACTTAATTCCATAAAATCCTGAAATCCAAGGAAAAAGAAGTCAGATTCAGAGGGAAGCAAGGCAGCATTTGGAAATAACTTCAGATACAGGCTGCATACATGGGGTCTTGGCAAAACCAAGAATACAAAAAGGAGGTTAAAAAGGAAGATGGTGACTTAACTAGAAGGATCTAGAAGTTGCAGTGGTGCTTAGAACTGAAATGATCCAATACAGCACAAAAATTTAACTTTGGGAACAGATCAGAAGGGAAGTGGTAGAGCCTATGAAAAAATGCTGCCACGTAACTGGAAAATACCAATAAAAACACCACATACATCAATTAAAGAAAACAGAAAGGCCAGTGTTGAGTGCCAAAGGTGACAGACAGATTAAGACGGATAAAATAAGAATTACACTTCAGATTTAACCACGAACAAGCCACCTGTGACCTTACAGCAGTTCAACAAACTCAATCATCTGAAAGAAGGCTGGAGATCAGTGAAAGCACGGATGGACAGAAAGTCAAATCAATATAAAAATATACCATTAAATATTTTGAAAGAACTGAGGACTGGATGCAGGGTTGCAGTGAAAGGGCAATATATGCTGAGAGGAACACATTTCAAATTAAATTTCTGAAGTGTTTACTTTCAATTAAAAAAAATGGAACAGTTCAAATGAAACGGAAGTGGAACCTGAACAGGGAGTTAGGAACAGTGGCAAGTGTGACTGAGGCAATGGGAAAGGATGGTGATATTAAGCAGCAGAAAGTATAGAGGTGACTTCTGAATCACAAAGACAAGAAAAAGATTGCCATAAAGAGTTACAGCTATTCTTAAGCCAATATATTTGATGCACAATCAGGATAGTTCTTTAACATCCTCATTTTAACATCTTCCAGTGACATGTAAGGGAAGCACTGAATTTGCAAAAAGCATTGCTTTAAATTCCTGAAGGAGAAATTTTCATATAACTCACTTTTACCTTTCTATCCTTACCATCTGGAAACATTTACAGTTGCTAAAAACTCCTGCTATCAGGAACAAAAAAAACCACACACACAAAAACCCAGGCTTCATGCAGCCTCCTCCATACCAGGAAGTCAAAGCAAATTGGGAAGGATTTGCTACTAGCACTTAACCTTCACCTTAGAGAGTTTATTTTTAGGATTGAGTGGCAAGCTGTAACTCCAGAATGAAAGAATAAGGGAAAAAAAACAAAACTGAGCCACAGTTCTCCATTTCAGTTATACTGGTTTTATCTTGAATTCTTAAAGTGTAAACAAACCAAAGAAAAAAGTTAAAAGCAAAACTTTATCACTAGATTATTTGCTCCTTTCTCGTGCCAGCCTTTCATCTTATATTTTTAATGCTATATTAATTAAAAGCTCCCTGGAACAGGAAGACTTCCTTTATAAAAGTCTAAAGCAACACATTTGCAGTACCTGCTAACATTTAGTCACTGGCAGGATGACATTACTGTCCCTGCTCTGCTCTGAAACTTTTATCACACACAAGTTCACAGCAAAATGACACATTGTAGAGATGCTGTGTGTGAACTACTGACAGTCCAACGTTCATTTATCAACAGAGCTGCGAAAGAACCAGGCCCTGCTATCCCATCCCATTGCTGCCAGCTCAGGTCACATATGGCTCACAAAGTTCTCTTTTAGTTTTGCATTTATTTCCAGTTCTTACAAACTCTGACATTCACACACACACCTCCCACCCCCCTCTGCCCTATGACACTAACCCTGAGACTGAAGAAAAGATAATCCTACCTAAATATAAGAAATTCATGCTATGGCTTTGGATTCCTTTTTTTCCCCATCCTCCAGCAATCAATCAGTTTAAATAAACCGATGGAAATCAGTCCCAAAGCACTTTTTATCCAAGGGAAAGATAAAAACAAAATATTCAATTAAAAATACTAATGAAAATTATTATCAAAGCCATCACTGTACTTTAACATCCAAAACAAAGCTATTATCCCACCTGACGGGGGTGGGGGGGAAGGGGCGGGGGAGAAGATTACACAGAAAAAAAGGAATTGAACTTTAAAAATTAAGGTTTCAGAAGCTAAATTGCTGCTGGTAACACTGAATAAATCTTACCAATCACTCTTTATTATTGTATTTAATCCAAATGATCTCCATGAAACTTGCAAATGAAGTTAAGAGGTGGAGCCAGCCAGGTAGATCACAGAAGAGAAAACAAAAGTTTGGATTGCAGTTGTTTCTTATTATTGCCCTCAAAAAAATAAACAGTTTTGGCTTTAGCATCCTCCTCAACAGTTTTGCATTTTGTGGCCAAGCTGTCAGCACAAAGGAACCACAAAGCCCAACATAACTTTTGAAAAACAAACGTTGATTATTACAAGAAATAACATTAGCAAGAGCACTTGAAAGACTCTCTGTTCATGTGGTGGTACAAACTTTATACAGCTTAAAGAAAAGGACTTGTAACAACGCTGTTGTTTGATTCACAAACTCCTGGTGTCAGGGGCCATCCCCCTGTTCAGGGTAGGACAATGCCTGGCACAGGGTGTTCCAGGACATTATAAATACTATTAGCACGACTAATTACTCAACATACATCACCAGCATATTCTTAGAATGCTTCTACCCCAGCAGCTTTCAGCTAAAAACCAGACATTGTTAACACACGATGCAAAGTTCAGTTCCAGGCTATTTCTGTGCCCTTTCTTCCTTCTGAAACACCTTTCTAACATTCATTACTACAGAAACCTGTACTATTAAAAAAATCCTTTTCTGAACTCCCTTTCTTGATTCAGCCCAGGACTTTCTACTCCTAAGAACTGCTTCTTTCAAGGAGACTATAAAGGCTGCAATATGAACCCCATCACGGGTACATCTCAATGCCTCATTATTCTTCTTCTTATTAAGTTTGCACATAGAGTACCCTCTGTAGATAGCTAACTATTGTCATGCTAATAAAGTGGTCTGAGGAGCGATGCACACCAGAGGCTGGATCTTTAGAAGCTCATCATGCAGCTTAAATTAAAGGCAGCCACAGGCACTCAGGTTCATACGAGGACAAGGCATTACACGATTTTCCCTCGGTGTTCGTCTCATTATCAAATCCCTCTCAGGTCTCTCAGCAACGCCTCAACTGCTGGATCGACTTCCTGCCTGTCACAGCCCAAACTTTTCTCCATGCCTGCTAATTGCCCTTTATCCAGGCAACGGGAACGCCTCACGCTTCCAAGTGAAGAGACACCACACACTTGGTGGCATACACACAACTATTAAAATACAGCTGTACTTCAGGGTGACGAAGGAATCACTTGTGGGAAGAGAAGGTTGCGAGATAAGGAAATGTAAGCCTGTCCCAGTGATTAAATAGGATATCAGACACCAAACGCGCAGCACATGAACATCACACCTGGCTATGATCGAACGCTGTAACAAGCCAGGGAGCAGGTCTAGGAACAGCACCGGCCCACAAACAAAATAAAGTCTTCCATCGTCGCTTTTTTTGCTGTCAACACGTTCCTCTGAGAGCCACGTCAGAGGCTTTCCCCCTCAACAGTGAACGTCATCCTCGGCCACAGGGCTGGGGAGACCCTCGCTGCCCGGGAAAGTGGAACAGCAAAGAGAGAGGCGGGGGGGGTCCTTCGGGACGAGTATACAGGATGAGGATACAGTCAGGATAAAGGGTGCCCTTGCCCCACGCCCCTACCGTAACAGTACACAGAGGACAAAAGGAAAAAAAACGATTTCTCCCTCCCACAGGCAAAAGCAGGAAGGTAGGAAGAAGGGTGGGACGAGCGCTCACCCCCGCCCCAGCACTACCCCTCTGCCCCGAGGGGCTGTGGGAGCTCCCCCTCCATCTTGTGCCCGACACCGACTTACCCGCCGGAAGCCTCGGCGCGCCCCTATTGGCTGGCGCCGCCGCCGCGGCGTCACGTGAGCAGGGAAAGCCCCGCCCCCTCCCTCCCTCCGCCTTTGCCGTGGACGCGCCGTTGGCGGGGCGGTGTGCGCGTGCTGCCGGTGCGGCGCGTGCGCACGCGCCGGAGGACGCGGAGGGAAGGGGGAGGGAGGGTGGTCGCGCGCTGTGGCGCGTGCGCCGGCGGCGGCCGCGTCGGGGCGGCGGGAGGGGCGCGAGGCGGTCCCGGGCGCGCGGGAGCGGGGGCGCGCGCAGGCGCCGGGCGGGGGCGGGGGCGGGGGCAGGGAGGGAGGGGGGGGAGGTGGAGGGGGCGGGGGCGCTGCCGGTGCCGCCCCGCAGGAAGCGGAGCCGCCCGGGCCCCGCGCCGCGAGAGCGCGGGAGAGACAGGCCGGCAGCGAGCCGCGTCGCTTCCCGCCCGCTGTCGCCGCCCCCGGGGACACCGCTCCGTGAGGAACAACCGGCCGCGAGTCGGCAGGGGAGCAGCGCCTGCCCCTCCCTACATCCGCCCCGTCCTGTGAGGCGGGACGTGACCGCTCCCTGCCCCCCCGTTCCCGGTCTCCGCCGCCACCCGTCCCGAGGAGGGAGCCTGGCACTTGTTGCCGCGATGGTGCCCGGCCCGGCCGAGTAGGAGCGCGGAGCCCCCCGGGGAGAGGAGCGCAGAGCAGCGGGCACCGAGCCGGCCCCGCCGGGCTCCGCAGGGTGTTGTCTGCCCGCCGCGCCCGGCGGTGACGGCGCTTCCCGAGCCGCTCCAGGACTCAGGTCTGGGCGCGGGGGTCGCTCCCGGCAGCGCCGCCCGGCCCGGAGGGTCCCGGCGGGACCAGGGGGCAGCGCCGCCCGCTCCATCCCCCGGCCCGAGCCAAAATGTCCTTCTTCAACTTTCGCAAGATCTTCAAGCTGGGCGGCGAGAAGAAGAAGAAACAATACGAGCACGTCAAGAGGGATTTGAACCCTGAGGAGTTCTGGGAAATCATCGGGGAGCTGGGAGATGGTGCTTTCGGTAAAGTGTTCAAGGTAAGGGCGGGCGGCGCGGGTCGCTGGTGTGGCTCATAGCTGGGAAATGACTCGGAGCAGTGGTGCTGCCTTTCAGCGCTGCCTCGGGCTCCCTGTCTGTCAGCCCCGGCACCTCGGGATACCTGCTGGGAGCGGCGAGTTTGGGACAACTTGGGGCGGGGAACGCCCGGTGCCCCCCCGGGAGCGGCGGTGGCAGAGCGGGGCATCCCGGCGCCGCTTGTCCACTGAGCCTCGCGAAACTAAAGATAGAAAAGACCTATTAGGTCATTGTCCCGCCTTCTGCTCCACCCTGCCCGCTGCTGAATCGCTCGCTTCCCCGGTATTTTGGGGTTTTTTCTGGGACGTGCTCAGTGTGGCTTCTGACCTCACTATATTTTCTTGGTGTGAGGTGCGTGTTTGTTTTGGCTTTTTTTCCCCTAAGTTTTTGTACTTAAAGAAGCCACTGAACAGTAAAATTGACTCCTTTGCCTCGTGCGTAGTGTATAGAGCCAAGTTCTCGCCGCTTAATGGGCATTCCCCCATCTTGCTCCATGTGGAGTTGAATTAAATAGTTGTGTTATCTTGGCTTTCACTGTGTGGCAGAATTCCTCTGTTGGATCTCCTAACTTCTCTCAGTTGTTTGCTCTTTAAATCTTTAAGTGTACTGGTACAAGTAGTGTTTTGAAGGATGCTTACCTAGAATTTATCAAGCCAAGTGGAGTACAATGGCACAGATACAACCCTGCTAGTGTTTGACAAGACTGAAGCTTTCAGACAACTCTTCAGCTACTTTTCCTCCTTCCTGAAGGGCGTTAATGCTCCGCATTTGACTTAGGGATAGTGTGAAAAAACATCATGGAGGGATAAACGTGAGAGAATTGGGAACTGACATGAACTGAGACTCTGAAGCGGGTTCTTGAGACTAGAAAAAAATAGCATGAGAAAGAATAACATTTACAGTGTTTCTGAGAGCTAATTCGGTCAAGAAACGTTTATATTTATAGTACTGTATTTGAGAGTTTATGAAATCGGGATACTCACGAAGCATGTGCTATTTTGGGTACTCTATTGTACTGTGGTGTCACCTGTTTGTAAATCTGAGCAGAAGTGCCACAGTCAGTTCAGAATGTTAGGTGGGGTCATTTCACCCAAGGAATTCGTGTTAATGTTCTATTTTAGGAGCATCTGGTTTATTTAGATATTCGTGTATTACATAGTCTAGGTGGTGCTTCTCATGTCACTTTGGAATATTAGAGATTTTTTTTTTTATTAAAATGACTGTGAATATGTCTGAAGTTAATCTAGAATAAAGTTTGCTGGCTATAAAAACAAAACGTCTTTAATGGCATTTGCAGAGTATTAAAGTTTCTCTTTGAGCTTCATAGTGGAGTTTTGATTCCCATTTTGTGAATATATGCCTCAGAGATACAATGCTAAGTGTGTTCTCCTCCCCCCACGTGCATTTCCCCTCCTATCCTCAAACCTCATGTTTATTTGTAGGCATGTCTGTATTAGCAATAGTACTACGAGAGGAAGATGTCTGAGCAAGACAGCTGTAAATTTTGCATTTCAATGTACTTTGTACACAAACAGGAGAAGGTTATTTCACGGTCAGAAATAAGTCTCAAAGTAAAGAATCACATCCAAATGGAAAAGAGAGTTAACTCTTGAAATTGGATTTTTCGAAATTAAAGCGTGTTTTAAAAATTGTAGTAGTCAGAATTGCACATGCGTTTATACCGTTGAACTCAGAAGTTGAGAGAATTAACAGGCACTAGTGTTCCTGGAAAAAAAGTCCCTTTTAGAAAAGAAATCTGTTACTGCTTGAGTTCAGCAGCTTTCATTTTGTTTTCATCTAGTTTGAGAAGGAGGATTACACACAGATACTGATTGCACTTGTATTCCTGCATCTGAGTGTGCTTGGCAAGCAACTGTAAAGCAAAGGTGTGTTAGATTGTTCTTTCCTGGATATGCACATCAAATGAGAAACTGCAGGAATAGTCTTTCAATTCCTTCTCAAATTTTGCATTCAAGACTATAAGCTGGAACAAAGCTCTCAAATGAGTGAAGACTTTGTCTTTGGATAATGCAAGTGTGGGCGGTTGGGACTTTTTGTTTATTTACAAAAAAATCCCTCACTATCCCAGTGTCAGTTACATTTGCCAAAACTACATTTGCCTTTGTTTAAGATCCTAGGATCTCTGTGTGACAAGGTTTTGGCAGATATTTGTTGAAAGGCAGTTGCCAGATAAGTAAGGCTATGTATACTTTGGATTTCTAATAAAAAGTAGGTTAGATTGGTTCCATGCCATGATTTCCCATAGAGGAGTATGAGCTTTAGTTGTGTAACTGATCTTCTGGATAAAGTATCAAATATTTAAATAAAAGTTCAAAAGCAACTCCGAAATGATTGACAGTACTGGAAACCCTCACTGATTAATTTATTTTAAATTTTAAAATCATTTCTTAAAATGCTGTCTAGTGATAATTAGTTTTCTGTAGAGAAGTCTTAAGGGTATTGAAAACTTGGGATTCGTTCCCCTTCTTCCCAATCAACTACAAGGATCTTGCTTATTTTTTTAATACTTTAGCCAAATTGCTAGAAGAGCTTATTTCCTTTGAAGCTGTTTGTTGTAGCGTTCTAAGGCTTTTTGAGTTCTGTCAATTCATACATTTGTATTCACTAACTTCTAAGTAATGTTTAGACATACTCTGAGTGTTTCAACTGCTGCTGCAAGTCTCTTGTGATCAGAGGAGCTCTGTAATTGCAGACTACTGATGGCAAAGGTTTATGGCTCTATAGGACTTTTCATTCTGGCCCTTTTTCAGCCTCTTCAAAGAGGCCACTTTAGACTGTTTTCTTTTTGCTCTTGGCTAATGAATAATGGTGTAGTTTTCTGTCCTTTTTCAATTTATAGACCCTTGCAGTACTTAAATGTCAGGTGATGGCCCTTGTGAAGAGAATTTCGAGGTTGCTGATGGAATTTTTTTTCCAATCTTTTATTTGCCTTTCATGAATTATTTAGAATTACTGAATGGATTGCTAGAGTTCTGACAGACACTGAGAAGCGTAGTATTAGCACTGGAGTCTGATTTCAACTTTGAAGTTTGGCAGCTAGACACAAACTACTATCTTAAAAAACCAAACCAAAAACCAAAAGATGGAACAGTTTGAAACTGCTCTTGATTTGATCAGATTAAGTGTCCTCAAAAAACTTCGTCTCTTGCTGTAATTGTAAAGAGTTTGCTTTAGAAATTAGTTATTATATCATGTAGCTGTATTGTGTGTTATAGTTCCCTATTGTGTCCAATATCGGTTCTGTGCACACTGTAAACATTGCTTTAAGGTATATCACTGTAGTTGTTAACAACTCTCATCAGCTTTAGGCTGCTCTCTAAATTCTCAGAAGTTCATGTCTAGATGATGTGAAAACAGACCTTTAAAATGCCTGACTTGAACTGTGGCTCTTCCTTGCTGAAGTTCCTGATGGAGACTCTTTATCATACAGATGTACACAATTAATGAAAATGCAAATATCTTCTTAAGTAAACCTTCTGAATTAGATAAAGGACTAGGACTATATTTCAGTAAAATTTGCCAGCCTTTTTGGTGTTAAGAACATGTTACACTGATGTTTAGTTGGTGTCATCTCTGAGCCCTTCACTAGAGGATACTCCTCCAAGAAATTACCAGACTTTTGGCCATCATTATGATTATTATGAGTACCATCTCTACAAATATATTAATTTTAAATTTTCTATGGGAACAGGTTTTATAGAGATATAATATATGTGACAGTATACCATATATGATACAGGGGATATAATTATTTATATGGTATGTGTATATATATTTTAATAGAAAGTGATAAATTATTATTAGAGAATCCTTTGGACTTGTCTGATTTTGAGTTTCATTCATGCTTCTTTGTTTGAATTGGAATATTCTACCCATTTATAGTATTCCATTTATTACCTCGACTCTAAAATGTTGAAAGCATTGTGTATATAATATTCTCATAGGAATTTGGAAAACGAAATATTTGTAATTCATCTGAAGTTACTAGGACAAGTTTTCTAATTGAGCAATGAACTGGTGCTTGGTTAGAAAATCTGTTTTCTCTTTAGGTTTCAGAGAAAGAAGGTTGTGGATGCTGATAACCATAATCATGGTGAACAGCATTACCCTAATGCATTATCTTTTGAAAATTGTTACTACATTAAGCATTCATAGATACTTACATTGGCAGTAATGGCCAATACAAACTCATCTCTGGCTGGTGACAGTGGACTTCTGACACAGTGTTTCTTAAAGTCCAACAAAATAATGATGGTGCTTCATTTAGGTTAAGCATTTGTATCTACATTTGAAACAATCTTATCTCTAATGTACCTATATAAAGATACGGGATAGCTTGTTTTTGCCTTAATGTCTTCTACAGAAGGTAGAAACACATAGAATTTATAAGTAGTGATTTAGTAAAACTGGGCCAGTTATATCATTTAATGATTATATGTTCTTAACTCCTTTTAATGTTAAAATGCGAAGTGACTTAGGAGTACTGTGGCTGCTTAGAAGTACTTTTTTGTGTATCACTAACATCACTGCTTATTTTCTAGTCATAGAAAATGCATCAGTTAGTCTGACCTGAAAACAAAGTAAGGACAGAGCGGGAAGGATTTATTTTTCCTAGTTTCTCTGGCCTTATAGTACATCCTTCTAAATTCCTGCAGTTGGATATTGCAATTTGAAGTTACTTGAATGTTAGTAATGTATCATGCTGCTTCCTAGGGTGAATAGCTTTTACATTTTTAACTTTAGGACTCACAGAAATAGATTTTAACCACTTACTTAATATCTAAGCTTGGAGCACAAATAGGCTGGTTTTTTTCTACGCTTTACCATTTGATTTATGTGGTGTCATTAGTTCCACTAACTCTTCAGAAGAATTTGTTAGAGCTGTTGGAGCTTGGCAAACATTCCTGCATAAATGATACAGTTCCCTGTGAAAGATGCTGCC